CTGGGCTCCCCCCGTCCCTGGGCTCCCCCAGTCCCTGGGCTCCCCCCGTCCCTGGGCTCCCCCAGTCCCTGGGCTCCCCCACCCCTGGGCCCTCACCCTGTGCATCCTCTCTGGGTGGTCATCCATCCCAAACCCTGTTGTGCCCGAGGTTCTCAGGATGAGCTCCTGAGGGTTTGGAGGGAGCTGCCTGGAGCCCTCCTGGGCCTGCTTCCTGCAGACCCTGTGCTGGCGCCGTGGCGGGTGGGCGTGGCTCCCGCAGCTGCCTGCTGGCCGGTCCTTGGTGCTGCACCTGTGCCTGACCCAGGTGCTGCTGCTGCCGTCTGGCGGGCTTGCGGGCCACCAGGGCGGGCGGGAGCTCTCGGAGCACGCTGCGTGCCTGTGGGTGTGCTGGGACCGCCGAGCACCTGGGGCCCGCTGCCCTGGGCCCCTCTGTGGGCCACCCTCCCCGCCCCCCCAGCCGCCTGGCCTCTGCCAGGGCAGGGCGGGAGCTCTCGGAGCAGTGCCGCGTGCCTGTGGGTGTGCTGGGACTGGCCGAGCACCTGGGGCCCTCTGCGGGGCCCCCGCCACCTGGCCTCTGGGCCATTGTGGGTGCAGGCAAGGCAGCCGGACCAGCCCACCTTCTCCCCGGCTCTGGCTTCCTGTCCTCAGCAGGGCTGACGAGGGCCTCATCCCCGCCCAGTTTTCAGATCGCGTCTTCCCTGTCCAAAGAGCTCTGTGCCTTGGTTTTCGGGATCAACACGTTCCTTGCTACCGTTCTCAAAAGCTCCATCACGCTCGTGGTCGTTGACAAGCGGGTGCTGGGCCTCGAGGTCAGGTCGCAGGTGAGCCGGTCTCACGCAGCCCTCTGTGGGAGTGCGCTGTGGGGTTCCAGGGGCCACTGCGCTCCACCTGCTGTGGATCCCTACTCGGTGCCCAGACTTCAAACCCGTTACCACCGGGCGTGCAGCGCGGGAGGGAAGAAGCCTGTGCCCCTCCCGTAAGCCCCCTGTTAGACGTAGACTGTCTCTGCCCGCCCCCAGCCTGTGCCCCGGCCCTCCCGTAAGCCCTCTGTTAGGACGTAGACTCCCTCTGCCCACCCTCCCCCCCAGCCTGTGCCCTGGCCCTCCCGTAAGCCCCATGTTAGACGTAAACTGTCCCCCCTCCCCCCGAGCCTGTGCCCTGGCCCCTCCCGTAAGCCCCCTGTTAGACGTAGACTGCCCCTGCCCACCCCCAGCCTGTGCCCTGGCCCTCCCGTAAGCACCCCGTTAGGACGTAGACTCCCTCTGCCCCCCCAGCCTGTGCCCCGGCCCCTCCCGTAAGCACCCCATTAGGAGGTAGACTGTGCCTCCTCCCCCAGCCTGTGCCCCGGCCCCTCCCGCTCAGACCTCTGGGCTTGCGTGCATGGATGCCCAGGCTCTGTGTGGGCCTCCCTGCTCCTGGGTGTCCTGTCCTGGCCGGCTGCGAGCTGACATGGCTCTTTGTCTCACTTTCCCTCTGTGTGGTTGTCAGGATCTGCTGGCCTCAAGCCCTGGTGGGAGAGCGGCCCGGTGGGTGCGGGCACACTGGCCCCTCAGGCACACCTCTGTTTTCCTATCCAAGGCAGAAGTTTGACGTGTGTGAGGGGACATTTCACTGACCAAGGCAGGCTTTCAGAGCTGGGGGCATGGGCCAAGGTAGCAGGCACGAGAGAGGGATGGTCACCGGGCTCCGGTGAGTGTCCAGCCTGTGACTGGACACTGACCTTGAAGCTAGGGTGGCCCTGTCTTCCAGCAGCCCAGGTTCTGCTGCACGGGTTTGTGGCTGCTGTGTGGGAGCTGACCCTCAGGGTGGAGGCGGTGGCTGGGGTGGGGGCGACGGTTTTGCTGGGGCTTGCTGGCGGGTCTGGAAGGACGCCAGCACTCTGCCCTTAGCAGCCCCTGCCACCAGCTTCCCCAGGACGGCCAGGCTTCACCTGGCCGTTGCACGAGGACTCCAGACTGAGGGGCTGTGGCGCTTGGGAGAGCCATCTCTGTCCCCGGGCCCCAGGTTCTCTCCTGCTCCCCAAGCGTGGTGCTGCTGTTGTGGGTGGCCATGGAGAGCTAGCTGGCCAGAGCCCCCGGGGAGCTCCAACGGCCACCAGAGAACCATGTCCCGTCTCCTTTCCTCCTCCGGCCTCTCCAGCTGTCAGAGCAGCTGGGTGGGACCCCAGCGCCAGGCCTCTCGTGGGTGGCGGTGCTGCGCAGCGGCTGGCAGGTGCTAGGCCGGACTGTGTCCCGTGGGGCCTTGCTGGGGTCGTCCTCACCAGGTGGCCCTGGCTTTGTTCTGAGGGAGCAAGCTCATGTTGGGCTCTTCATCCTGGTCTCGCTAAATGGCTGGCGTTTCAGTTCCAAACACATGTGGACAAGGAATGAAGCCTCCCTGCCCGGCCCCACCGCCGTGTCCCTGCTGGGCCGTGCCAACAGGCCCTGCCTCCCCTCTGTCCGCCTTCCCACACCGGCTGATGGTAGACCGAGTCTGTCTCTAGCCTGGGGAGGTGTTGTGGGAACAAAGGGGTTCGTGGAGCGTGTCTGGGTTTGCTTCCAAAGCTGCACTGTCTGTAAGGGTGTGGGGCAGGGGCTGTGTTGTGTGTGTGTGTATGCACACACGCGAGTGTGCACACTGGCCTCCTCGGGTCCTTGCGTGGTGGCCTTGGGGATGAGGAGGAGACATTTCCCCTTCTGGGTTTTTGGTCATGGCTGTGCAGCTTCTGTCCTGGGGCCGGCCCAGAAGTGGGCCGTGGCCCCTGCTGTGTGCTCCTTGGCCTGCTGTGTGCCCTGGGGAAGTTCCGGCACTCCATACGCCCTGGAGCCTCTTGGCAAGTGTGGGAATTCAGCCCAGGGCTGGAGGGCCGTGCCTTGTGGTGGCCGTGCAGGTGCCCTGTGCGCCCTGACCTCCTCTGGGGGCTGTTGGAAGGGCGGTATGAGCCCCTGCAGGGTGGCTGGGCTGTGCAGGGAGGAGGAAGGGCGGTGGGTACCACAGCAGTGGGCACCCGTGCTTGGGCCGCACGCTTGTAACCTGGGGCTGTGTTCCGTGGCCACCCCGGCTGAAGGAGGGGCGTGCAGCTCCCGGCTGGCTCTGCCCGCCCTCACGTCTGCCTTTCTCTTCCAGTTCTTCGTCTACTTTATGTACTTCCTGGTGCTGTCTGTCATCTACCTGGCCGGGGCGGTGCTGGGCGGCCTGCAGTCCTGCCAGTGGGGTCCCCGCCTGCCATTGTCCTGCCTGCAGCGCTGGCCGCAAGGCCACAGGGGCTGTCACCTGCCGCTGCCCCAGGCACAGGAGCTGAGGAGCCCCTGGGAGAAGACGCCCCCCACGCCAAGCGTGCTGGACGGGAGCCAGGGCGGCCTGCAGCCCTCAGCCGCGCCCCTGCCCCCGGACGGCGGCACCAAGGCCAGCCTGGGGCCTTCTGAGCACGAGGCCAAGGCCTG